TGCTCTCTGTCTCTCATTCTCTCTCTCGCAAATAAATAAAATCTTAAAAAAAAAAATAAAGTTAAAAAAAAAAAAAAGAACAGTGATTCTCTACTGGAGGTGATTCCCCCCAACTCCCTCCCTCTCCAGGAGACATTTGGCAATGTCTGGAGACATTTTTGGTTGGATTTAGATTCAAGTAAACAGACTCCAGAGTCCATGTTTTATATACTATGCACTGTGCAAATTAAAAGCAAGAAGTTGTTGGGGTGCCTGTGTGGCTCAGTCGATGAAACATCTTGATTTCAGTTCAGGTCTTGATCTCAGGGTTGTGAGTTCAAGCCCCGCACTGAGCTCTGCGTTGGGTGTGGAGCTTACTTAAAAAAAAAAAAATCAATAAAAGCAAGAAGTTGCGACATGCTCTATTGGCATTCCCAACCCATGATCCAGCCAGTCAGAGCTCATCAGATCACTGGGGTGGTTAGCAATCCTGGCGTACAGTGGGTAGAGTCCAGGGATGCTGCTGAACATCCTACAATGCACAGGACAGCTTCCCATAATCAAGAATTTTCTGGACCCCAAATGTCAATAGTGCTAAGTTTGGGAAACCCTACCCTAAGAGATGTCTCAGACTTATTTTGAATAGTGATCAATCCCATACCTGCTTGGCCAAGGAGATTCCAGGTATACAGATGACTCCTACCAGAATATTTCTAAGAATGCCCATGCTCTTATTGAATTAGGGAAAATGTTTGCAAGGTGAGGAGGAGAACTCCTCCTCCACGTTCTGCTGGAGTACAGTAGAGTAGCCTGGACTCTGAAGCATGGTGGCCCTTCCTTTCCTAGGCATTTCGTCACTGGAGGAGTCAAATCAGGACCCCAACCTTCCTGGGTCCAGGCCAACATTCTTCTCCACCATGTTCTAACTCGATTGTTGGTTTGAGGGTTCATGCCAGATTATTCTTTGTGGTGTGTTTCCATTTGGGGTCTCTGGCTGTCCCTCCCTGTTACCTGTCTTGTACGGACTGTCCATCCACCTCACTTCATCAGATACTTTGGCATATATCCGAACAGCATGGATGGTTAGGGTTCTGAGTTTTATGGGAGGTAGCCAGGCCCCGTATGAATTAGCTGATGCAAAGGGCCATGAAGGGAGGGGGAGTTTCTCAGTTCTTCCAGGCATAAATCTCCAAGTCATATTGTTGAGGGGAAGCAGTTGTATTCCCAACTTCTCCTGTAAGGACTTAAGATGCCTGCTATTCTTGTGCAGTTTACCCAAACTACACTTTTGTATTAAGTTGGGAGGGTGTTTACCATCTGTTGAGGCGCTGGGATACAAGAAGTCTTAGACTGTTTCGGACCTAGTCTGTCTAACTTCAAAGCCAGATTGTTTCCTGCTGATTTAGAGGTGTGTGCTGCCCAGCTAAAGAGGCCTTAGGACTCATCCAGTCTCATTATGTACAGAAGAGAATAAGGAAGCTCAGAGAGGGATGTAACTCAGCCCAGCTTCCCCCTCCCCTCCCCCCGAATGTTGGTTCTGGGCTGGGACCCAGTGGGTGTCCAGATGCCTGACAACATTCTCTAGGCCAAGGTATATAAGAGCCTTGCGGCCTGGGGATGTGAGGACAGCTGGACAAACAGCTGGGGCCTCTGGGGCCAATCTCCTGCCAGGACTTGGTGCCCTGATGGGGGCGTGGGAGGAGTGTTGAGGGCAGTGGGGGAGATGGCCTCTACAAGCACCCTCCCTTTCTGAGCGTGAGCCCAGCTTTGCCTTTGAGAAGAGCCCCCTCCCTAGGGCCTGACTAGCTCCAAGCCAGGCTGAGCCTGGAAAAGGCTCAACTGGACACTCCAGGGACTAAATTGTGGTTAGCTCCTGGGATCATCTGGCTAGCAAGGAGACTTCCCACCAGCCTCCCAGCTCATGGAGGGTTTCTGGATGGAAATGCTACCATAGCGAATGATTGGCAGAATGAGAACTATCCTTTAGGGACATTCTGGGTCATTAAATACTCAGAGTTGGACTCCCTGGACCGACTGGAATGTGAACTTCAATTCTGGCCATGCTCACCAAGAAGGGGTCAAATCCAGGACTTCTGATTGGCCAAGAGCTACAGAACCACATACGATCAGAGATGAATGCTGTCACTCACATGAAAACTTCTCATGGTACAGATAAGGAGACCAAGGCCCAGAGTAGGCAATGGATTTGTCCTTGGTCACACAGAAAACCCATCTAGAACTCGGTCCTCTTGATTCCCAACTGAGATGTGCTATGAGGGTACAATGCACACCAGATTCTGAAGACTTATGATGAATTAAAGGCTGTAAAATATCTTTATCGGTAACCTTTATGTTTATTACATGTTGAAATGGTAATATATGGGTATTTTGGGTTAAATAAAATATATTATCATATATATATACTTAAAATTAATTTTACCTCTTTTTAAGAACTAGCTACTAGGAATTTTAAATTACATAAGTGGCTTGGTTCCACTGGACAGTGCTGGTAAAGAATATTTGAGGAAGGGGTCTTAGGAAAGAACTCTGGGGAAGGTCAGTGTTCAGGAGACGATACAGGGAGAGGAGCTGCTTTTGGAATTGTTTGGTTTGGAAACCCTTGAGTTTAGCTTAAACAAAACAAAAGCTATTCAGAGAATTCAGGATATTTTCTTGAGCTCAGTGTCAGAAAATATATCCAGGGCTGAGGAGGACCTGGAATCCATTAAGAATCCATGTGAATAGTCTCACTGAGTCTTTTTATCTGGGCCCCTGTGTCTCTGGTTCTCCCTTTCTCTGTGCCCTTTGCTTTTTTTTTTTCTCTGCAACCAGCTTTCTCTGACCCACTGGCATCAGGGCCAGCCCACCCTCATGCTAACTTGCCTTCCCAGGACAAGGGCCAAGGCATGGACTAGAACCTCTGTGACTCAGATCCCCAGCCCAGGAGGGAATACATGATGAACGAAACTTGGATCAGAAGGGCCCTCTTGTCCAGTCAGTCATGACCAGACCTGGAGGTCATGTAACTATTCAGTTGGCAGGTTCAGGGGATGTTGACCTTTGAGGAAGGGGTGGGGCAGGACGGGCAAAGCAGAGTTTTGTAGCATTTACAGGAAACCCTCCAGGAGACGCTGAAGGAGCAGCTGCAGTATGGGAGGGAGCTTCATGCCCTTGGCATCTCAGAAACTGGGAAAGGGGGACGAGGCCAATAGGACCGAAATCGGCTGAGAGGCCAAGTTAACACAAGTTGATAATGACCTGTGGATTCAGCACTGGGGGTGCTGAGTGCTGTATGTGACAGCTCTCTTGGGGAGGGGGGAGAGCCAGAGTGCTGTTTGAAGATGTACGAGGTTAGAAGGTACAAGGCAGGGAGGCACCCAGCTCCTTTATAAAGTTTAGTTGTGAAGGGGAGAAATTTCGAGACAGTGTGGCCCCTGCCGGGAGATACGACTCCAAGGGGAACTGGTTGGTTTGGTTGGTTTTCATTAAGATAGGAGAGGCGGGAGCTTATCTGACTGGTGATGAGAAATGAGCCAGGAAAGAGCTAATAGGTGGAGGAGACCTGAGGGGGAAGACATCCGAAGGCTGCCTTCCGGAGGGGCTGGATGCAGAGCCCCATTGGGAGGACGGACTTTCTGCTGGGACTGAAGGGAACTCGGGGCACATGGGGTGACATTGGTGGCCTTTGACTATGGCTGCGGTTTTCTCACTTCAATCGGACACAGAGCTGTCTGGTGTCATGGGCCTGGGACGTCATTGGAGACCTGGGGCAAGCAGGTGGATCAGATCGGGACTGGAGCAGCACAGGCTTCCGTCTGCAGCAGCTCTGGGCTTGTCTCGTCCTCTGCTCACGCGCACGCTGGGACACGTACGTGCACACACGGCGTCGTGCACACAGGGTATTTCCAAGCACAGGACTTGCTATGGGCTATTGCGTCCTCACCCAATTTGTATGTTGATGCTCTAACTTCCAGTGTGATGGCAATTTGAGGTGGGGCCTTTGGAAGGTAACTGGGGATAGAAGAGGTCATGAGGGTGGGGCGTCATGGTGGGATTAGTGTCCTCCCAAGAAGAGATGGCAGAAACCTTGCTTTTCTCGCGCACTCCCTGCCAAGTGAGGACAGACTGAGAAGGTCGCTGTCTGCAAGGCAGGAGGAGGGCTCCCACCGGAAACAGTCTGCTAGCACCTTGATCTTGAACTTCCCAGCGTCCAGAACCGGGAGGAAGAAGCACTTGCTGTTTAAGTGGTCTGTCTGTGGCATGTTGCTATCACAGCCTGAGCAGGCTTGGTGTATACGCAGCTCTGCGTGCTCACACATGCACACACAGGTTCCCATCAGCCCAGCCTCTACGTACCCGTGTGCCCATCCCTGCATGCAACACACAAGTCCCGGTGATGGTTGCGTAGCGCACACATCCGTGTGGTGGCCTGCCCCCTTCTCCCTGCCACCCCCATTCCTGAGCAGTGTGGCTTGAGTTCATTGCCGTTTATTGAACCCTCCCATCGAAGAAAGGGGTGGGGAGCAAGAAAGGGAAGCTGTCTTTGTTTAGGCTTGAGCCAGGGAGCCCAAGGGGACCTCAGGGAAAGGAGGCTGGAACAATGGGGGAAGGTGGCAAGTGGGAAAGGGCTGGACAGAAGAATGGCAAGACCTGGGCTGAGGGAGGATGAGGACAAGGGTGGGGCATGGGAAGGCCTGTGGCCAAAGCTTTGGGCTGGAGCATGGAACTGCTCAGGGCCCCCTCAAGGTGCCCTCAAGAGCCCAGAAGCAGGCGAAGACCTGGCTAAGATTCGCTTCTGGAGGGCAGGGGAAGGGGGCTCTGTTGTCCTCAGCTGGGGTCCAGGCCCGGTCCAGAAGACTGCAGAGGGATCCTCTGGGATGCTTTTTCTGCTTCTGGTTCCTGCTTTGGTTTCTTTGCCCGCCAGGACCTAGGGAAAGAGATCTCAGGAAAAGCCCTGGGTCTGGACCTGCTTCCCCAGTGAGGAGTTCCAGTGGGACCAGAGGCAAGGGACTGACCAGGTTTCCACGTCTTGGATAGTCTCTGGCAAGGGCCGATTGAGGGTCTCAGGCAGGAAGTAGGCGGCACTGCCTCCAAGGAGGGTAATGGTCCCAAATATAATACTGGGGATGAAGGGCTGCAACTCCCCTGTGATTTTCACCAGCGGGGCTGACATGCTTCCTGCACGGGTCCACAGGTTGCTTACACCCATACCTGTTTGCCTTGGGAGAGTCCAGAGCAGGGATTGGCAGCCTGTGCGTGGCTCTTCTTTTTTTTATTTTATTTTTTTAAATTTTTTAAAAGATTTTATTTATTTGAGAGCGAGAATGAGAGACAGCATGAGAGGGAGGAGGGTCAGAGGGAGAAGCACCCCCCCCACCGCCCGGGGCCTGCAGGAGGCAGAACAGCAAAGAATATCCATGAAGGGTGGTGGGAAGGTTAGGGTAGCTAGTGGGCAGAACCTCCAGTCGCAGAGCTGGAAGTGGCAAACTGGTTTTGGGTTTGGACCCTGGTGTAATCTAGAGGAGCAGGGGCCAGCCTCCTGACATCACAGCCTCTGTGGTCGTTTCTCGCCGGCCTTGGCTGCCGGAGGTTCCCATTGGCCCTCACAGAGGGGGAGGAGCCTGAAACAAAGCCTCTGATTGGCTGCTTTCATTTAGTCCCTTGTCAATTTCCAGTCTGATAGGGAGGGGGAGGAGCGTAAGATATTTAAAACTCGCAGAAATATTTGAATAAGGTAGAGAAGGAAGGAGGGGAGAGGGTGGAAAGAGGGGCAGGGGAGGGGGTCCAGGGAAGAGATTCTTCTCCAATTCTCTGGGATGGTTTATAAAGTCCTGGGGTTGAGGGCAGGGGACTGGACTGTATGGACTTTTGGGCCACCGGCTGATGTGGAGCGGCTGTTACATTTGAGACAAGAGAGATAAAAGGAAATGCTTCACACAAACCTTTTAATGACGCGGTCTTGGTGGAATCTGTTCAGGGCAGGATACCCCTGGGAGGTGCTTTCCTGAACCACAGCCTGGACCCTTGGGCCGCCATTTCCCCTTTCCCTTCCCGGAGGGGATGGCTCAGGACCTGTAGTACCCTCACTCCCTTTGGGGCTCTGTGAGGCCCCTTCCCAGTGCTCAGAGTACATTCTCTCGTGCTGCGGCCTGGAGCGGGACCATCTTCTTCCGTTGCTCTTGCTCCTGCCGCCTTGGCTTTCCTCTCCTCCTGGGGGCAGGAGAGCGGTGTCCTGGGTATGCAGCCTCCAGACCAGGGCTAGGAGCTGGGGGCTTCCCGGGAGTCTCCGCTCAGCCGCGCCCAGCTACCATCTCTCTGCCCCATCTACTGCTCCCTGGAGCCAGGAGCCCAGGAAGGACTCTAGACCCCCAGCCAACTGGGGAAGTGGACAAAGAGCCCTGGCCTGAACAGGGAGGCCTGGGTTTGAGTCTCGGTGCCACCCCAGCCTGGGCGTGTGACCCGGGTTAAGTCCCTACTCCCACCTGCTTTCCATGTCCTGCACGGTGTCTGGCAGTGGCTGGCCCAGGGTCTCTGGCAGGAGGGCAGTGACAGCGCTGGCGGCCACGGGGACCGCGCCGTAGATGAAGAGAGGCACGGAGGGGTAGAGCTCAGCAGTCATGCCCACCAGTGGGCTCACGATGCTGCCCACACGGGCCATGGTGCTGCCCATTCCCATGCCTGTCTGCCTGTAGGGCTCAAGGTGGGGTGCTGTCACTCACTGTTCTAGCGTGAATGCTGAGGTGCTGGCTGAATTTGGGGTCAGGGCAGCTCAGGCTGAAGCCCCCTGGTCCCTCCTCTATTCCCCCTTTGATTAGCAAACCAATTTGGCATTTGTTTTGGAGATTAAAACAAAACAAAACAACAGGGTGGGAAGGGCTCTGGCCAGAGAATCAGGAGGCTGAATTTTGCCTCTGCCCTTAACTTGCCATGTGACCCGAGGAAGAGTCCCTTTTCCTCTCCGGGCCTCAGTTTCCTGAGCTGTCAAATGAGACAGTTAAGTTAGGCCAATCATTCTCAGATCTCCTGGGGGATTTTGAGTTCTAGTTGCCCCAGCCCACACAGTCTTATTGGGTTAGAATCCCCAGGGGAGAGGACCTGGAAGCTGCATGTTAAGACTATGTTAAGAACATTCTCTGAGAGAGCAGAGGTTAAAAACCTTGACTTAGGAGACAAACCGCTTGGGTTCAAATCCACGCTTCCTCACTTATAAGCTGTGTGACGTGGGGCCAAGTCACTCAACCTTTCTGTGGCTCAGTTTTCTCATTGGTAAAATGGGCTTGTCATGAGGATTCAATGAGTTGATATTTATAAAAATTTTAAGAAGATGCCTGGTGCATAGTAAGTGATTTATACTGTTGCTCTTTTCCCTGAAATTCTGTGAGGGCGCAGGACAGCAACCATGACCCTGCTCATTCCCAGCAGCTTAGGGAAGCCTGGCCTTTCTTTGACATCTCATGTGAATTTTTCGTCCCATTCTTAAAATAGACATGTGTTTCTTTTTTCTCAATGCAAAAATGCCCTCCCCCCAGTTTTGGCTCTCAAAAAGCAGTGCTGTGTTTATCCATACAGCTACCAAGCACCAGCATTATTAAATGTGGCTCTTGTGATAAGAAATTACTTTCCTGTTTGGTCTTTGGTTTCAGACGTACCACTTGGTTTATAGATGAAATTTAGATTTGATGGCAGCTTCTAACTTGGGCTTTGGAGATCAAGGTGGAGTGGGGGAGGGGGAACTTCGATGAATTGCCTCTGAGATGTGTTTTCTTGGCTCTCAACCCTGCCCCAGATGGTGTCTCCTTTTGCGATCTTTTCCTTGGATCAGGTAAGGGCTTAGTGGGCAGGTGCATCTGTGTTAGCCACGAAGTATATACTGAGCAGCTGATACACACCTTGCAGGAGTGGATGCTGGGAGGGGGCCTTGGGCTACGGCACGCTGGACGGTGCTCTGGGGTCTGACCTCTGTGTGGGGGGGATGTCTTGTCCCAAGACCCCTCCCACTAGGCTCCACTCACCGGATCACTGTGGGGTACAGCTCCCCAGTATAGAGGAAGATGCAGTTGAAGGAGGCAGCCAGGCAGCCTTTCCCCAGCACAGCAAGAGAGGTTCGGACAATGGACTGATCTAGAGATAGAAAGGAGGGGGTCAGTGGGAGCTCGGGAGTGGGGGTTGAGAATCTGGGGATAGGGCTAAGGGTGAAGGACCAAGGTACTCGTGGGTGCTCACCCTGGGGTACCACCCCGTTGACCAGGATGCAGATGCCTGCCAGCAGCAGTGAGGCCATCTGGGCAGGCCGGCGGCCCAGAGAGTTGATGACAAGGAAGCCCACAAGCTTGGCAGGCAGGTCCACGGCACCAAAAATCACCTGGATTAGGTAGATGCTGACCCCAAAGCCCTGCAGGTCCATGACCAGCCCATAGTAGGCAAAACTAGTGGCAAACCTAGTGGGGAGGGATGAAGGATATGGAGTTGGTTAGGAAGGCTTAAGTGGGGGGGCTGCTCATTCAAAATAGGGGTGAGCTACACTATGACCCTGCTTCAGAAGCTGGAATCTGCCTTGGCTAATCTTTCTTCAGACATTTAGTATGCATTTAGTCTAAGTGTGGGGTAGTCCTCCAATACCCCAAATTTCTCAATCTTCTGATAACTAAGATCCCCGGTGTATTAGGGGATTTTCACTTAGTTGTCATGTAAGATTTATATAGTTTTAATCTTTATCTTATCTGTTGATACTTTAGCTTATCTACTGATACTGGGCTGAGGGCAGGTGGATTTTCAAGCCACATCTTTAGGGTCAAGGTGTTAGGAAAGGCCAGAGCTTTGCAGACCTGTGCACGGTTCTGGGATGGTTGTGCTTCTTAACATGTCAGGAGCCCACAGAATGAAGCTCAGGTTATTGGATAAGACCCACAACCTGGAGTAAATCCCAAATTGGAATGAAAAAATTCACTGGTAGAATTTTTGACCATGCTTCACCTAACTGTCATGGGGTTACTCTGGTGATGGGCTCAGGAGGGGAGCATATCAGAAGGGTAATGGGGAATGTTGCAACCGGAAAGGACATTTTTGGCTGATACCAGGCCAACGTGTACTTCTGGAGATGAGTTTTAGTCATCTTATTGCCCATGCTTGTGTTTCTGGCAGGCCCTGCAAGGCCAGTAAAGTCTCCCAAATGTTTTGCAAGCCGGACTGGTCTCTGCCTTCAAGATGTAATTCTATTGACTCTGGGGCTCATCAATCCTGATGAGGTGTTTTCATATTGGAACAGAGTTAATAAAAGGAGAAGAAGATGGAAAGATTGGTGCCCAGTATGGGGACTGGAAGCAAACTGAGGGGAGGTCATCTGGTTCTTCAAGACTGTCCCTGGTGGAGGATTACTGCCTCTCATGGGAGGTCTGCTGACTTTTCCTCCCTTTGTTCTGGTTTCCTCCACCCATTGCATCCACTCTTTCCCCAGCCAGCCTTTTGTCTCTTGGTCTGTCTGTGTCTCTATGGCTCCGTCTGTCTGGGCCTACCACAGCGTGGAGAGGCAGAAGAAGAGGTGGCGAAGGGCGGGGCAGCGCAGCAACTCCAAGGCGGAAGCCTGGCCTTTGCCCATGGTCAGCTCCTTCTGCAGACTGGCCCGGAGCACCTGCCAGGATGGGCAGGGCTCAGGGCCTGGACTCCTCCAGAAGCTCCTCCCAGCCTAACCCCTTACTCAGCGAAGCCCTCTGAGACCTGGGTTCAGGGTTTGAGGGTAGAATCCTCGTGGGGTGTCATGGGAGGTCTTGGGGTGGGTCTCACCTCCATACTTAGCTTGGTCCCCTCTTCCCGCTTCCCATTGATCCAGGCCACTCTCTGTAGGGCCCTCAGGGTGAGATCTAGCCTCCCAGAGGAGGAGTACCAGCGGGCCGACTCGATGAAGAACCTGGGAGCGGGGGTGGGTGGGGAGGTGGTGGGGGGTAGGTGTCAACATGGCTTCAGTTCCAGTAGGCTCGGCTGGGGGCAGGGGTGGGCTTCCCAGGGGACTGCAGTGGGATTTCATTTCAGACTGGGAACCCAGGGGTTTTGCCAGATCCATCTCTCTAGGACCACAAAGCAGCATCCAGCTTGGGTGATGACCCATTCCCCAACCCAGGAGCTCAGCGTTGAGGTGTCGGGTAAGGGCAGTAGCGCAGGCAGGGTGGAGAGCCGGTGGTGGGGGCGGAGCTGAAGAACAGGATCCCTGGGGCGGGAGGCAGATCCTTCCTCCCACAACCTCAGTTCTCCCATCTGTCATACGGAGACACTGGCCTGGGTCTGACCTTCTGGTCTTGACCTTCTCTGATTCTGTGGTGGAGTGTGCAGTGGGATTTGGGGGATGTCTTGTCCCTTGCCGCCCTCTGGGCAGCCCTCGGGCACCCCTGCCCACCCTGGGCCCCACACACCAGGAGTAGATGAAGAAGGCGAAAAAAGGCACGGAGACCAGGAGCTGCAGGTGGCGCCAGTGGGGCACGGCCAAGGCCACCCCGGCCAGGAGAAACTGGCCCAGGCTGTAGACATAGCCAGTCAGGGTGCCCACACAAGCCCGCGTGTGGATGGGCATCCACTCCACATCTGGAAAGAGGGTGAGAACAGAGGGGTGCCGCTGACTGGGCTGCCGGGTGGGTGGAGACCCCTGGGCCAGGCAAAGACCCCTCTCTCCACCCAAACTTTGATCCGTCCTGGAGCTCAGTGGAAGACACATCAAATGAAGATGGGTGCCATGATGGGGGAAGTAGGGGACTTTTGGTGGAGGAAGGAATGGGAAGACGGGTTTGGAATCCCTAGGAATTGTCCCTTCCACTCCCCCGCTGTGTCTTGCTGCTCCCCAACTACTGTCCTGGCCAAGGCCCCCTTTCCCTTCAAAGTGTCTCTGACCACTCAGTGCTGGCTTCCCTCAGCCTGGGCCAATTCAGTGGCCAGAGCAGCTTGGAAGAGACAGTGGTTTTCCTCCATCCAGGAGAGTCAAGGTGGGAGTGGGACCACCTTTCCGCTGTGGTCTGAAGAGGCCCAGCTTTGTTCCTTGTGGGCTCCTGATTCGGCTGCTGGGGCAATGACTTGGACATGTAGACTGGGTTTTGGGGCTGAATTCTCTAGGTGTGTTGCCCTGGCCCTGGCCCCATCCCGGTTCATTCCTGTAGTCCAGAGAACCCCCAATCCATAGATTCCCTTCTGGGTTTGAGGGATGACCTTGGGTAGATTCTTGCCCTTCTCCCCAGTCTCAGGTTCCTCCTTTGAGAACCAGGGGGAAGGGGGTGATTTATCAGAGGATGCCCATTGATGGTTCATGGACAGACCATGCTCAGACCATAAATGTGTTTGGTCTACATGATGCTGGCTTGCCCTATGTTAAAAATATTAGAATTAATTTCCAACATTACAAAACTGGGGTATTTTACATTAATAAAGAGGAGGCGGTAAGATCTGACAACCCTGACCCTTCTGGCTGGAGCAGCTGAGTGGCTGTGGCCCCTCTGGATGGGGCTGTGACCCTCCTTTGTCTACAGTCCTCACCACTCCCTAATGCCTCTTGTACCCAGTCGGCTTCAGTCATTTATGGGAACCGCCTGGCCCTTAAAATGGAGTTTGCAATCGTTTCTAAATGAGGGGTCAGGATGGTATGAGTCCGGGAGAAAGGCTGTTATGTTGGCCGCCCAAAAGTGGGCAGGCAGGACTCAGGAGGGGTTGGCTGGGAGAGGAAGCCAAAAAGGGGCTGCTGGGTTGGGGGGTCAGAGAGGAGTGGGTAGGGACCTGCCCTGCCCTCCCGGCATCCCTCACTCAGTGTCATGCAGTTGAGGGAGATGCCAGCCAGCGACATGCCGGAGAGGAGCCGGAAGGCACAGTAGACAGGGAAGGTGGGAGCGAAGGCGGCGCAGGTTCCTGACACGGCCGTCTGCAGGTAGTTCAAGATCAGCAACTTGCGGCGGCCCAGCCTGTGGGGGGAGGGGAGAACAGCAGCAGGGATCCTGAGGGCTGACCGTGCCAGGCCGGGTAGGGAGAGGAGTGCCTGCCCTGGGGGAGGCTCTGGGCTGGGGGTCTTTTGAGGACCTGTGCCGTGTCCTGAGGCTGGCCCTGTAGGTCCTCAGACCAGCCCCAGTGGTCAGGCCAACTTCCCACCTGGTTCCCATGAACCCAGCTGAGGCCCGGGCCCAGCCCGGCCCGGTGGCTCTACACAGGACTGACCTGTCTGCCAGGTAGCCGAACACCATGGCTCCGAGAAGCACCCCTACCATGTACAAGGACTGCGCCAGCTGGCGTAAGGCCCTGTTAGAACACACGAGGTCCCACTGTGGGGAGAGGAGGCAAGGGTCAGGCAGAGATGAGCCTGGGCCGCCGGGCTCCCCTTCCCCTCCCTTGGGCTGGCCCTCTGAGGCCTACGTCACCCTCTTCCCCTGACATTTCCCTTTGCTGTTTGCTTCCCCAGTCCCGGTCGCTGAGAGACTTTTCTTGACTCTGACGTTCCCCTTTTCTGTAAAGACCCCCATCTTGAACCCCTCTCTTCATCTTCCCATCTTGGTGTCTGGAGAATCTGAGACGGTCTGTGTGTGTGTGCATGCGTGTGTGTATGCCTCTGTCTGTCTGTCTCAGAGGGGAAGGCAAGTCTGTTTGGCCTCTGGAGCAGGGGGCCCAGGTATCCTCACCTCAGTCACGATGGTGGAAGGGAAGGTGCTGTTGTCATAGATCCAGCCGTTGGTGCAGGGCTCTGTGGCCCCCGTGCCGTTGGGAAAAGGCGGTCCCTGTTGGGGGATGGTGAAGAGGAGGCAGGACTCCGGCTGCCCCTGCCTGTCCCGGGGCAGCCAGGCCTCCAGCTCCCCGTCCTTGCTGAGGTTGGCGTCGGCAGGCGGGCGGCAGTGGTGGGTGGGGATGGCAGCGGTGAAGTTCTGCAGGGTGTTGTGGGAGGCCATCAGGAGCAGGGGGAGGACCACCAGAGTGACCTGGATCTGCTGGAAGCGGCCGACACCCCCCACCTGCTGCAGGAGGTCGTTGAAGGCCATGGGGCCAGGCCCGGCCAAGCGGCTGGGGGCTGAGGACTTCTGTCTGTGTGTCCGTGCGCCTGCCGTCCTTAGCTAGAGGAGAGAAGCCGCTGTTGCTTCTGCAGCTGAGCTGTTCCTAGAGCTGACTCGGAGCTGGCTCTGTGGGGGGACAGGAGCCTGGCTAGCTGCCCCTCCTTCCTTTGCTCTCTCCGTCTTCTGTCCCTCCCTTTCCCTTGAGCCTCCCCTCACTTGGGGGTGGGGTACTCAGCTTTCAGGGTCTGTGGTAGCCCTGACCCCTACATGGGCAGGATTTAATCCTTGGCCTGGAGGGAATGAGTTAAAGTGTGACTTGGTATCAGAAGGATTAACCCTCTGAGTATCCTTGTGTCAGTGGAAATTCTCCAAGTGGGTATAAAGGGCAGGAGAGTGGACTGGAGTGGGGGTGGTGAGACGGGATGTACTGGGAGGGTGTGTCTGGGCATCTGGGGGCCCGAGGGGGTCAGGTGGGACCTTACTGTCTTCCTTTTAGTGAGAAGACAGGTCTCTGGGAAGTGTGGTGGCCTCTTAAGGGACTTCTGTCCTTTTTAGTGGACAGGATCCAAGCAGTCTGTCTTTGGGAAGGGTTGCCAGAGAAAATACAGAACTCCCAGTATCGGATCAACAAATACATTTTATTGTAGTGTAAATATATCTCTAATATTACATGGGACATACTTATACTAAAAAAATATTCATTGATCTGTAATTGAGATTTAACTGGGCATCCTGTATTCTTATTTGCTAAAATTGGCAGCCCCAGTCTCTGGTCTCCTGGGGACAACTCAGATCTTATGGGACCACAGTTTTGTTCAGTCAGAAGAAACTAAAGAGGTCAGAGGCTACTTTTGAAGGACTGGGACTTAAGACCAACATCATACATGATGTAGATCGATTCTTCCAGTGTCTCAGCTTTTACCTTCTGGCTTATTCTGATTCAAAATTTTCCCTTTGTCTCGTTGTCTCTGTCCATAATTTTTTGTTTTTGTTTTCATTTTTTCAGTTGAGCATGAACTTATTTTATTTGTAGCCACAACTCTAAGACAATCACTTGATTTCCTCCAACGGTTTGGCTTCTGAGCCCTGATCACTCAAGATCAGGGTAGTGCCAAGTTCTAATTGGATGGGCTTCTATGAGCTCTGATTGGTTGGATCATGGGTTGGGAATGTCAATAGAGTGAGTTGCAACTTCTTGCTTTTATTGAATTGAAAAAAAAAATTTTTTTTTTAAGTAGGCTCCACACCCAGTGCAGAGCCCAGTGTGGGGCTTGAACTCATGGCCCTGAGATCAAGACCTGAGCTGAAATCAAGATGCTTCATTGACTGAGCCACCCAGACACCCCAACAACTTCTTGCTTTTAATTTGCATAGTGCATAGTATATAAAACATGGACTCTGGAGTCAGTTTACTTGGATCTAAATCCTCATTCCACATTTGCTGGTTGTGTAGTGAGTGCAAGTTGCTAAAATCCTATATTTCTCAGTATTCTTGTTTGTAAGATGGGTATAATAATCGTGTCTGCCTTGTTGGGTTATTGAGGGTTAAATGAGTGAATCCTTTAAGTAAAGATCTTAAAGTAGCCACTGCCCTAGAGCTCAGTGAGTATGAGCTGTTCTTATTATTTGTTTCTGGTAAAAAGGTGAGACAATCATATGGATTTTGGAGAGAAAATAGGCCTAAGCACATCTTACCCTGAGAACAGTGATTCTCGGGCGCCTGGGTGGCTCAGTTGGTTAAGCGACTGCCTTCGGCTCAGGTCATGATCCTGGAGTCCCGGGATCGAGTCCCACATCGGGCTCCCTGCTCAG